AGGTCAAAGAGTACCAAACTCAGCCCGTTTCTTCTCTGCTGCACTTCCCCCATTTCCACTCAGGTGGACCCAGGTGGTCACAAGCAAGTAACATACAAGTCTACTACTCACTGGTTTCCTTTAACTTTCAGTCCTGGAAGGGGTTTCTCTCATGGACCATGACTTTCCTGCCTTGATGGACCCAAAGCTCCTCAGTTGCTCATTCCACCACTGAGTTTACAATGACTTATGGGTAGAAAAGCCACACTAAGTAATTTACTACACTGCAGGCACCCTTGATTTCTGCATGTAGCCGAGCCATTGTTCAGTACACTGACAAGGCCTACAGTTCTGGGGAGTTTTTCTGGACTCGAATTAGTGGCCTACCGTGTTTGGTGATACTAGGAATGTGCCTTTTTACTTGTTGACCTTGGATTTGTCAGCCTCAGCAGCCAGCCCCTGCCAGAGTGAAGGAAAGCCTCCAGATTTAGTGGTCCAGGAGCAGGAGGCAGAGCTGAAGCCCAAGATTTTGAGGGGCTTTCACCCAGCCCCTAGAGCTTGATCCTTTGAACTTGGACTTCTGTTGTTGTTGTGTTCTTAGGTGCCGTCGAGTCATCTCCGACTCTTAGTGACCCTATGCATGGCAGAACGAGACACCGCCCAGTCCCACGCCAGCTCCAGGATCCTTGCTGTACTTGAGCCCATCGCTACCACCACTGTGTCAATCCATCTCGTTGAGGGCCTTCCCCTCTTTCGTCAACCCTCCACCATACCAAACATGACATCCTTCTCCAGGGAATAGTCGCTTCTGACAACATGACCAAAGTAGGTGAGATGAAGTCTGGCCCCACTCACTTCCAAGGAGCATTCCAGCTGCACTTCCTCCAGGACAGATTTGTTTGTTCTTTGAGCAGTCCATGGTACTCTAAGCATTCTTCGCCAGCACCACATCTCAAAAGCATTGATTCTTCCTCAGTCTTCCTTATTCACTGTCCAGCTCTCACATGCGTATGAGACAAATGCAAATATCATGGCTTATGTTACGAGCACACAACTTGGGACTTTAAATGGACTTAAATTAATGGCCTGCAGTGTTTGGTAACATTGGACTGTACCTTTTTACTTGTCAACCTTGGGTTTGTCAGTCTCAGCAACCAGCAGCTATCTGAGTGAAGAAAAACCTCTAGCTCCAGTAGGCCGGGAGCAGGAGGCAGAGCTGAAGCCCAAAGTTGAGCTTCTGACACCCAGCCCCTAGATCCTGGCACTTTGAAATCAGACTTAAAGCCTCCAAACTGTAAGAGAATCAACTTCTTTTCTTTAAAGCCATCCCATTTGTGGTATATTCCAGTCAGTGTGGCACTAGGTAACCAGAAAAGTGGTGAAACTTGTATTTCAACAGAGCCTTGTGAGAATCCGGCATGTACTTCCCTCTCCCTTATGGGCTTGAGTGCATGAACCCTTTTGCACTGTACGTTTTTTGTTTCTTTGTTTAAATTATTATCGTGATTTTGGTGAAAGATTACAGAGCAAAGTCCTTTTTCTTACAATAGTTCATACACATTTTGTTTTATAAAACTGACTAGAATTCCCCACAGTGTCCCACCTCTCTTCCCTGTGTCCTTCCCTCCCATGCTCTCCTGACACCTGACCTGTCTCCCTGTTGCCCTGTGCTTTCATAGGCCCTGTGCTAACCTTCTCCAAGCTGGATCCTACTGTCAGGTGTGTTCTTGTTTGTGCACAACCGATAACTCCTTTTCTATATTTTCCATTCGATGTCCTTTATAGGCTGGTTATACCTAGCACGGACCCATTTTTAGGGTAACATCATCACTTCTCCCCTCTGTTTTTCACTCCAATTCAAGCCACATGCTGTTCAGTTGCCAGCAATCCCCCGAACGTGATGTATCCATGGACCCAAACCCCCTCCCCACATCCTTCTCCGGCTGCTCTCCTGCTTCTCCTGTGATAGCCAGGCATTTTCAGTTTGTGAGTGGGTTCACATTTTCCCTAGGAGGCGCTCACTCATAATTAGCAGACAGCTACACTGGGTCTGGATTATGAAAATTGCGTCGAGATCCAGATTCTCACAGTTCCTGGCTCCCTTGACATCTCTCTAACTTTTATTATCTCTTCCTGTCTCCATGAATGGGACACAGAGGGTGACAGAACTTGAGTTTTTGAAAAGTAGGGGACATGTGAAAATTAATAATTATCAAAAGGAGTATTCTTTCTTCAACAGGTGGACCTATCACTTCCTGATCTAGTGTTCAGGGAAATAGGACCATCTCAGGGCCTTGGATTGTCAGCTCATTTGGGCAGGTCCTTGGTTCCCCCGTGGCTGGGAGGGGGTAACGGAAACATTGCCTTCCTGCACTGCTTCCCAGTTGTTCATCAGTCGCCCTGTGTTCCCCCAGTGCTTTCTGTGTGTTCACTGTTCCAGTGGGTCTCGTAAGAGGAGATGAAATTGTTCACAAGGACAAGATGAACCGAATGAGACCATCTCTCTAATTACTGATCTGTTTTCTGACTATTCTAGACCATGAATAGAGAGGAAGAACGCTGCCGTTGAGCAGTGGTGAGATGATGTTAGTGTGTTGGAAGTTTGGGAGACAGGAAGCTATCAGTGAGGACATGAATGGGGTTAGTGAAGGGATGAGGCTGATGGCTGTGCTTTATACTTCCTCTTGATGGAAAACAGGACATTGTTTCAAGTCCCTAGGAATGCTCAATTCTCTGTTAGCCTCACTCTTCTCTCTTGAACACAGTGGAGTCCTTGGTACCTTCCTAATCCAGAATGTGTTGGCTGTTTCAGGACTCATTGGTCATGGAGGATGTGGCTGTGGTCTTTACCCAGGAAGAGTGGGCTTTGCTGAATTTTGCTCAGAGGAAACTCTACAAAGATGTCATGACGGAAACCTTGAGAAACCTGGCCTTTGTGGGTAAGAACACATGCATGTTTTATCCATGTTTCCTTTGTTGTTGTTGTTGTTATGTGCCGTCAAGTTGGCCCCAACTCATAGCGACCCCTCCTTGGGTTTCCGAGGCAGTATCACTGCGGAAGTAGGATTGCCCAACCTTCCTTCCGAGGAGTGGCTGGTGGGTTTGAACCACCAGCCTTCTGGTTAGCAATCAAGTGCTTTAGCCACTATGCTACCAGACCTTTAGTGAACAAAAATATTTTAATCATTGACTTTCCTCCAGTATTTGGGCTCAGAAATAGGAATACATTTTTTAATAAAACAGGTATGGCCCCTTGGTCTGTGGAGCTCACGTATCCTGGCTTCCCACATGGGCATGAACAAACAAACAAACAGAAAGGCCCACTATCAAGCTGATTTCATGATTCCAACACATAGTGACCCCCACTGGATTTCCAAGGTACTAAATCTTTGTGGAAGTAGATTGACCTGTCTTCCTTCTGTGGAGAGTGTGGTGGGTTTGAACTGTCAACCTTCTGGTTCACAGTTAAATGCCTTATCCACTGTGCCATCATTTAAAAACAAACAGACAAACAAACTTACGGTCATTGAGTTGATTCCAACTACTAGTGACCCCACCTTTGGTTTCCGAGGTGCTATCTCTACAGAAGTAGATTGCCCAATCTTCCTTCCGAGGAGTCGAGTCGCTGGTGGATTTAAACTTCCATCCTTGTGGTTAGTAGTCAAATGCCTTATGCACTATGCCACCAGAACTCTTTATAATAAAAACAAAAAGCTCTGTGCATTCAAATGAAGTTTTGATTTCTCTTGTGATTAAAAGTCCCAAGGCTCTTTAAGTGTTGTGATGACAAGCTTTGGCTTTCAGGGGTCACTTTGCAGCACTGAGATTTGTGACTGGGGACCTTATTGTGAGTTTCACTGTATTAATTGAATTAATGACTTTGCTGTGAATAAACTCATACTATCTTTAGGCACTGTGAATGTCAAAGTGTTGTCTCATGGCTCTTCATGGTTTTTCCTCATGAGACACATTTCTCCATGAGCAGCACATCAGCTCTACCCATTTTTTTTTTTGTTGTTGTTGTTCGAAATAAAGCAAGGGAAGAGAGATCTGGGAGCAGTGGAGATAGGACTCCCCCAGGGCCATTGTGTCGGCAAGCACTAGGAAAGCCAGAAGTGTGTGAAGGACCAGGCCTGCATGGAGGGAATTCCATTTGAATCCGTCAGACAGAAGAAAAGAAGTCGCCTTTGGGTTGAGGACACACGTTAATAGATACCTACCTTACTTTTCTGACGTGAGCTGTCCTCTCACAGCTCATGTCTTGGAGACCCTTTTCCTGTTGTGATGTTACATGTGTATTGTGTCCAGTAACTTTCTACTTAGTTTCCTGATAACACATACTTGTGTCATCATCCCTGTAACTCCTAACGGATGTATTGGCTGTTAACTTGCTTTGCAACCACTTCCAAAATGTTGGAAGTGTGAAAGTGGCTAAGTCTTTCTTCAATCATAGCAACCTTTCTTTCCCTAATAATTCCTTCCTTTTTGTTTCATGTTGTGATCTTCAACTTGAATGATTGGCTCAGCTTCTCGAAGAAGCTCAGTTTCTGATGGAGAAACGTTTTCTAGTGAAGATATCATGGTTCAATTAATGAAGAATAACACTTGGTCTTTCATGTTGGGAGAATTCTCAAAACTGTACAGCGGTAAAGAGCAGCATAACAATCAGGGGAAACGTTTGAGGTGAGTCATTCAAATGAGAGAGAAGGAAAAACTCCTATGGTGTTGTGACAATAGGAACATACATGTATGTCTTATACCAGGGCTTCAGAGCACTTTGTAATGGTTCGGTAACTGCCTCTATAAACAAGGGCCATGTACACATTGCATATCAAACACATCAGTTGCCCATTGGATTTTGCCCTGAGTAGGAAACAGTCATAGGTGTTCTGCCCAAACTTGGCAGCCAGCTGTGCTCATTTGAATGTTTATCACTCTCCATCATCTTCCCATTAATGAAACATACCTGATGAGGCTCCTGAAACTTTTGGTATATGTGTGGGAGATTGGATTATTGGGAGTATTGTAGAGAGTCACACAGATTGAAATCTGCATGCTTGTCCACCATCTTTCAGTGTGGCCAAGCTGCTTGTTTCCTACCTGTGGTAGTAAAGTTTGTGTATCAACTTAGCTGGGCCTGGTTGAGTGGCTGGGCACCTGGATGTAGTATTCCCCATGATGAAACTGGTAATCACCCTCATGGTGGAATGGACTATGAGCAGCTGAGTAGCTGTTTCAGGAATGTGCTTGGCTTCCTGTATATAAGGAGAAGCTTTGGGGAATAGTGTCTACCTTATGGCACACTTGAACCCTGCATGTGGCCATGTCATTGTTCAGCAGCCTGCCATGCTCTGCCAACCTTTGGATTTTCAGTGGACTTGAATTAACGGTCTGCCATGTGGTTTGGTAACATTAGGACTGTGCCTTTTTACTTGTCAACTTTGGGCTTGTCAGTCTTAGTAGCTAGCAGCTGAGTGAATAGAAGCCTCCAGCTTCAATGGGCCAGGAGCAGGAGGCAGAGCTAAAGCGTAAGGTTGAGGGGCTTTCACCCTGCCCCTAGAGCCTGGCAGTTTGAACTTGAATTTAAAGCTTCCAAACTGTAAGAGAATAAACTCCTGTTTGTTCAAGCCATTCCATTAGTGATATATTCTTGTTAGAGCTGCACTTGGTAACCAGAACACTGCCAAAACAAAAACCAAACGTACTTCCAGTGAGTCAGTTGTCATTCAGAGTGACCCCCTTTGGGTTTCTGAGGAGGTAAATCTTTACAGAAGTAGATTGCCCGGAAGGAAGCTTTCATAGAGTGGCTGCTGTTGTTGTTATGTGCCTTCGAGTTAGACCTGACTCATAGCGACCCCTCCTTGGGTTTCCGAGGTAGTATCACTACAGAAGTAGATTGCCCAACCTTCCTTCCAAGGCCGAGGCTGAGGAGTGGATGGTGGGTTTTGAACCTCCAGCCTTCTGATTAGCACTAAAATGCCTTAAGCACTGTGCCATCAGTGCTCCTTGTTTGTTTCAGAATGTGTGCCTGTTTTTATATCTGCAAATGCAGTCATTAGATATCTGTTTGAAAACATAAGACATACTAATGTATACGTTTGTGTACCATGTCCAGTACACATATGTGTACATTAACTAAGAGTGAAATTACAGGTTCAGAGAATTTTTACCATATGACATTTTCATAATATAACTCAGATTTGAGGCATTTGAAACATATTTGACTTGGACATGATCTGAAAACCTATTTTACAAAAACATTGGACATAACGGTAGTATTTCTGCTAGAACATTTAACCTATGAAACATTAGATAAGTCAATGCAAAACCTGTGCATTCTCTGTGTTTGGTGATGTTGAAATGAGAACATTTGTTTTTGAACAACGTATTGTCTATTTTTAATAGAAATCGTACAATGGAGAACTTCTTTGAAAGTAATGAAGGTCATCCAAGTGGGAAAACTTCAAGCCATATTCCAAATCTCCCTGTGTTATCAAGAAATCATCCAGAAGTAAAGCCTTTGGAATTTGGAGAATGTGGAAAAGCCTTCATGCATCACTCATCACGTGAGCATCCTGCCCAATCTCCCACTGGATGTAATTCCTGTCAATGTGAGGAAGGTTGTCCCTCCCACCTATCCACTCCTCTGAGAACTCTTCATGGAAAGAAGCCCCATAGATGTAAGATATGTAGGAAGGACTTGATTTGTACATCAACCCTTAAGGATCCTGTGTCAACACTGATTGGTGAGGAGCACTGTAAACGTCAGCAATGTGGGAAAGATTCCCGTAGTTTGGCGTCCTTTTGGACGCATGTGAGAGGTCATGAGTGTGAATGGAAGGCATATTGTAAAGATTCTAGTCATCCTTCATCCCTCATTTCACATAAAAAATTTCCTAACATAGATAAGAATTTTGTATGTAAAGAATGTGGGAGAGCTTTTTCTTCATTTCTCACCAGACATATGCGAACTCGCAGTGGGCAGAGGCCTTATGAATGTACACAGTGTGGGAAAGCCTTTAGGTATGCCTCAAACCTCATTACACTTGAAAGAATTCATTATAAAAGTAGGGAATGTGGGAAAGGTTTGAGTCATTCTCCTTACCTCAGTGAACATACAAATAGTCCTGGTGGAGAGAGGTCCTACGTATGTAAGGAATGTGGGAAAACCTTTAATCTTGCCTCATCCCTCCGTAGACATAGGCGAAGTCACAGTGGGAAGAGGCCTTATGAATGTAAGGAATGTGGGAAAGGTTTTAGTCGTGCCTCACATCTCACTGTCCATGTAAGAAATCACAGAGGAGAGAGGCCGTATGAATGTAAGCAATGTGGGAAAACCTTTAGCTATTTCTCATCCCTTACTAAACATAGAAGAACCCACAGTGGGGAGAGGCCTTACAAATGTAAGGAATGTGGGAAAGCCTTTACTTATTCCTCATCCTTTATTGAACATACAAGAACTCACAGTGGGGAGAGGCCTTACGAATGTAAAGAATGTGGGAAAGCCTTTAGTTGTTCCTCATCCCTTACTACCCATAGAAGAACTCACAGTGGAGAGAGGCCTTACAAATGTAAGGAATGTGGGAAAGCCTTTAGGCATGCCTCGTCCCTCACTATACATACGCGGACTCACAGTGGAGAGAGGCCCTATATATGTAACGAATGTGGGAAAGCGTTTAGTTGTTCATCATCTCTTACTATTCATAGAAGAATTCACAGTGGAGAGAGGCCATATGTATGTAAGGAATGTGGGAAAGCCTTTAGTTTTTCCTCATCCCTTAGTGAACACAGAGGAAGTCACATACGAGAGAGGCCTGATGAATATAAGGACTGTGGGAAAGCCTTTAGTCATTCTTCTTATCTTAGTGAACATACAAATGCTCCTAGTAGAGATAGGTTCTATGTATGTAAGGAATGTGGGAAAGCCTTTAATCAAGCCTCATCCCTTCCTAGACATATGCGAACTCACAGTGGGGAGAGGCCTTATGAATGTAAGGAATGTGGGAAAGATTTTAGTCGTGCCTCACATCTCACTAGACATATGCAGTGTCACAGTGGGGAGAAGCCTTATGAATGTAAAGAATGTGGGAAAGGTTTTAGTCTTACCTCACATCTCACTAGACATATGCGAAGTCACAGTGGGGAGAAGCCTTATGAATGTAAGGAATGTGGGAAAGGTTTTAGTCGGGCCTCACATCTCACTAGACATATGCGAAGTCAAAATGGGGAGAGGCCTTATGAATGTAGGAAATGTGGGAAAAGTTTTAGTCGTACCTCATGTCTCACTGTCCACATAAGAACTCACAGAGGATAGAGGCCCTATGAATGTAGGGAATGTAGGAAAGAAAGCCTTTAGTTGTGCCTCATCCCTCACTACACATACATGATCTCACATTGGAGAGAGGCCCTGTATATGTACGGAATGTGGGAAAGCCTTTAGTTGTTTCTCATCCTTTACTAGGCATAGAAGAACTCACACTGGGGAGGCCTTCTACATGTAAGGAATGTGGGAAAGCCTTTAGTCATGCCTCATCCCTCACAATACATAGAAGGACTCACAGTGGAGAGATGCTTTCTGAATCTAAGGAATATGGGAAAGGTTTTAGGCCTCAAACCTTTTAGAAATAGATCACACAGTAGAGAGGCCTTAAGAGCAAAAGAAACATAGGAAAGCCTTTAGGGACTTTTGACATCTTAGTTCACTTGTAAGAAGTGGAGAGACTGTTAAAATGAGATGTTTCATGCTTACAGCTAGAATTATGAACACCAAATATTTGAATGTCTGCAATTAGCAAATAGAAATTCTCAGTGAAAGCAATACCATTTCAAAGAAAAGGTCCTTCTGCCTTTGGGAGAAACGACACTTTCATCATAAATGTGGGTCTGTCCTCATCGGTGTTTGTTACTTCCTCAGTCCAAGCTTATTGTTAGTTTCTTAAAGTCCCTGGGTATTACAAATGAGCCTGGTAGGAATTGCCTTCAGCAAATATGGTTTTGTATTTTTTCAGTGTTTTTATTAATGTTTTTTTTAAGGTGCAATTAAATACACTTTTCAATGGTTTTGTGTGTTTTCACATTTAATGCATTTCCTTGTAGTTTTCTCTGCTGTAAAGCTATTTCCCTCTTTATAATTACTAAGCTTCTCAGAGACTGAAAATACTGTTTTTCATCATACTTTGGCATACTAATTTTAGTATCCTTTGATATTTACTACCTCTCATGATTGTGTTTGCCAAATGGTATTTTGTAGTACAGTCATTTCCTCTACATTAATGGGAAGTCTGTGATCATTATCTCCCCTTCATTTGTATATTAAATTGTTTTTAATAGTACCAACAGTCCTCAGATGGTGAACAGGTTCCGCCCCAACTCTGTGTTTAAGTTTAATTCGTATGTAATTCCAGCCTCTTAAGTACAGTTCGTATTGAATGCCATTTACACAAATGTTTTCCTTTTATATAGTATACAGGGTACCTATCTACACAAATACAACATGATAGAAATACTTCTGGATTCACTGAAACAACTTTAATATGCTAAGAGTGATCATAATAATTTTTTAATGTACATCTCAAGTTACCTCTCATCACCACCTCATGGGATTACCACTTGGTCCCCTCCCACCATTCCTGTGTTGTTGAAGCCTAGAGGCCACCTGCATGGGTGATGGACATGTGAACGCCTAGTGTCAAGTGTAGATGTGCCTGAAGGAAGTATGGAGCATGGACTCTGGTGCTACACATTCCAGTCATGATTTGGGGGTTGCCAGCCTCCATCTGAGTAGGGAGGGCTGGAGTTTGAATAGGAAGAGCATCTTAATTTACGATAGGTTTTGTGGGGGATGGTAACTATGTACACGTTTTTTGTAACTTAAACATTCATAACTGGAGTCCTTTTTTTTTTTTTTTTCTGTTTTGATGCTCAGATTTTCCCAGATTTGGTTTTCATGAAGGGGAATGTTCTTCTAACTAGGTGTCTGTATTTTGCTGACATGTCCCTGTTCCACTTTGTACATTACTTGTTGCCCATATTTGAACCTCACTTTGTTCTTTTCCATCCCGAGCCCTGGGATCCCACTGTTAATCCCAAAATCCCAGGTTCTTTGATTAGAGAACGATAATTAGAAACAAGGGTTTGGGCATTAAGTGTGCTGACTGTTATTTGGTCTTCCAAAAGGAAAGAGTTGGGAGTGCACGTGTGTGAATCTACACATACAAAGACATTTTATTTCAGAAACCACAAGCTGTAGCCATATTTCTGCTTCACTGTAGCCTTTTCCCTTATCCTACATGTTATTCCTTTCTTTAATACTAGTGCTCTTGGCTGTCATTATTCACGATATGTTTCCTCCCAAATCGTATAATTTACCATGGCTTCAACCTGATTGATCTCAGTTCAGTCATGCCTAAGGAAGTGTCTCTGCAACAGAGCTGATTTTAAAACTTTTAGGTGATTGACCTCAGGACCAACAATGGGAAAAATTACAAGTCAAAGCCCAACTAGAAACTTCATCTTTCTCTTTTTTCTTGGGTGAAAGTTTACAGGGCAAATTTATTTTCCATATAGTACTTCATACACATTTTGTTTTATGACATTGACTTCAACTCCACACAGCGTAACAGCTCTCTTCCCACTTCCTCCATGTACTGACCTCTTGCCTGTGCCCTTCTTTCTTATGTGTTCCCGGCCTCTGAGCTATCTCCCTTTGCAAATACCACCCTTCTGTTCTCTGATGATTAATTGTTCTAAGGAATGTATCTACATGATGTAGTAAATGTTCACCTTATGTGCCTGTATGTTTTTTAGCTGGAAGTCATGGGAGTGAATTAATGTACAGGCCTGAGGGATAACTAAGGGCATAGTCTTGAGGATCTCACCAGGCTCCATCACACCAGTAAAGCTGGTCTTTTTTTTTTTTTTTAATGACTTTTGAGTTTTCTTCCACATTGTTGTCCCCCACTATCCAGCATCTCCTTCACTGATCCTTTTCTGAGTTGTTGACAGTGGTAGCCAGGCATCATCTAGTTCTGGTCTCATGGTTATATAGGCTGAGGTTCACATGGTTTACTAGTCCCTTGGACTAATTGTTGCTATGCTTCTTTGGTTTTCTTCATTCTTTGTTATTCTGTAGAAACTTTATCATTTTGTGAGAAAATAAGGGCAGAGTATATGTTGCAGAGTAACCAAAACCTTTACCCTTGGATGTTGAAGAGTCAGGAGGAGCTACCCCAGTCAATGATGGCGGTACCCAATAAAAGATGACGGTGCCCTGCTCAAAGATGGCAGCCAGCCACACTTTATGTTGCTGCCTACAGCCCTGCCAATAACCTCACTTGCAGGCACCAGAACGTTCACACTACACTTCTTTGGAATCTCACAATCCAGTGCTTTAACCTGTAATCTTTTTCCTTCTGGGCACCATATAAAACTTTAGGTCTATTTCTCATTTCAGTCCATTGGTCATGACTGAAAGGATTCAAACTGGTGTGAAGCCCTGGAGTGCACATAGTTTCAGAATTGTTCACTGTGAGGTGATAAATCACCGTGGAGAAACCAGTTTGGCCTTGATTCCAGGTTCATGAGAATATGGCTGCATCATAGGCTAATGTGTAAGAGCTGAGAAAGTCAGAGTGACCACATGGGGCCTGATGCTGACCTCTGAGGCCACCACTGAGCTTCATGCAGAACTGGCCAGTGAAGAGCTTCCTGGTTGGTGAGAGGCAGCCAACCATGTGGAGGGAAGCCAGTCCTGGGGACACGGGAGCTCTGCACCAGGGCCCTCCCAAACTTCATCCCATGATCTCTTCAGTTATATCCTTTCTGGTTATATTGAAGCTGTTATTGTAAGCATGGCCTTCTTGCGAGTACTGTGAGTTTTTCGTGGAATTAGGCTCAGAAGTAAGGAAGCTGGAGAACCTGATCTTTTTTTTTTTTTTTCTTTAATCAAGAACTCATGAACCTTAATAAAGAAGAAGGAGCAACTCTGATGGCACTGTGGTTAAAGCATTGGTCTGCTAACCAAAATGTCAGTGGTTTGAACCCACTAGCTGCTTTGTGGGAGAAAGATGAGGCAGTCTGTTTCTGTAAGATTTACAGGTTCAGAAACCTTATGGGAGCAGTTCACCCTGTAGGATTGCTATGAGTCTGACTCAACTCGATGACAGTGGGTTTCCATTTTAAAGGAGAAAAGTTAAATTCTGAGCAGTTTTCCTGGAAATGTGCATGTTCTAAAGGTTCCTAGAGAATGATACATGCTTATGTATGAAAAACTATTGGGAAGAGGTGGGGAGCAAGAAAAAACATGTAGAAAGTAGGGTTACATGATACATGCTGTTGTGTGACGTGGAGTCTATTTCAACTCATTGTCATCCTACATGACAAAGTAGAACTGCCTTACAGAGTCTCTTTCATGAGAGATTGTGATTTGGGTGAAAGTTTACAGAGCAAATTCCCTTTCTATACAGCAGTTCACATACACTTTCCCTCATGACATTGACTACAATTTACCCCAATGTAACAGCTTCCCTTCCACTTCCTCCCATTAGTTATCTCTTCCTTGTATCTATCCCTCCATGCACTCCTACCCCCTAAGCTGTGTAGACTCTGATCTTGAGGCTGCTATTGTATGGGAGTGAGAGGGAAACCCCCAGGCTTGTAGCCAGCAGTTCAGAAGTTATGGGTCATTCAGACACGCACCTGGAGTCAACACTGGAAGTCTGAAGTACAGTGTCCTGTTTAACTTGTGAGTCTAGCCCAGCCCCTGTGGCTACAGTCAAAGGGTGAATCCTTTGTGGGTGGTTGGTGTCAGTATTAATTAAGGGCAAGGATCAGATTTGCACGTGACTTAATTCTCAGGTGAAGTGAGATTTGTTAGTCTTCTTGGTGTAGATAGCACCTTGCTGGAGTCATCAAGCTCCATCTCACCCTAAAATGTCTAAGTACTGTGTTGTTTCATGATTAGTGGAATTTAATGAGGGTGGAAAATTGGTTTAAAAAGACTTGTATGCATGCACTTGATGTCTATACATAGCAAAGACTTACAAAATAATTGTCTCTGAATGACTTCTCTGCCTCTGGTAGCATAGTGTATAAAGCATTTGTCTGCTAAACAGAAGGTGGTGGTTCAAACCCACCAGCTACTCTGTGGGAGGAAAATGAGGCAGTCTACTTCTGTAAATATTTATAGCTTTGGAAACCCAATGAGTGTTGCTATGAGTCAGAACTCGATGCCAGCGTGTTTGGGTTTTTTTTTTGGCAACCATCTTATCCTAGTGATATCTAAGGCATCCCCCGTACCATGGAAAAGATGCATGATGCAAAATTGGACCTATAAGTGTCTCCACCGGCCACCCAATAGTCCTGCAAAAGACTCCCTCCCACTTTGCTTCTTAACCTTTTTTATTGTAATTTGGGTAAGTTTACAAAGGAAATTGATTTTCCATACACATTTTTCTCATGACCAAAAAAAAAAAAAACAGACTCACTGCCGTGAAGTCAATTCGACTCTTACAGACCCTTTTGGGTTTCAGAGGCTGTATCGCTACGGAAGTAGATTGCCCATTCTTCCTTCCGAGGAGTGCCTGGTGGGTTTGAACTGCCAGCCTTCTGGTTAGCAGTCAGATGCCTCAGGCGCTATGCCACTAGAGCTCCCAACTGCAATTTCTCACAATGTAACAGTTCTCTTTCCCAGTTACCTCTTCCTGTGTCCTTCTCTCCCATGCACTCCTGCTCCCTGAGCCTTCTCCCTGTGCGTACACTTCCCTTCTGTTCTCCCATAATTGATCTCTCCAAGGAGTGTATCTACCTGATGTAAATGTTCATCTCGTATGCTGGTCTTTTATTTGGCAGGAAGCCACAGAAGTGAGTTCAGTTCTAGAACTGAAGGGCAGCTGTGGACCATAGTCTCAGCAGTTTCACTAGCCTCTCTCAGACCAATAAACATGGTGGTGTTTTTTTTTTTTCCCTAAATGATTTTGAATTTTGTTCTACAATGTTCTCCCATTCTATCCAGGATCTCCTACATAGATCTCTCCCTCTGAGTGGTTGACAGTAGTAGCTGGGTACCATCTAGTTATTTTGGTCTCGTGGTCATATAGGCTGGGGATTATATGGTCCGCCAGTCCCTTAGACTAATTGTTTCCATGCGTCTTTGGTTTTCATCATTCTTTGCTCTGGATGAGGAGAGACCCATCGTTCCATCTAGATTACTGCTTACAAGCTTTTAAGATCCCAGTCGCTACTTGCCAAAATAGGATGTGGAATAATGTTTTTGTGTAGTATGTTATGCCAATTGAGCTTGATGTCCCCTGGGACCATGGTCTCTAGCCCACAGGTCCAACTACTTGCTTCCTCCGGGTAGCAGGCTGTGGCCAAGAAGTCACCAGAACCTTGTCCCTTGTCAGCTCTACTATATACCTGGACATTCATACAGAATATACAAATATGCTTGTAGAAACATTATCTGCCAACCCTGACCTTGGTCACGGGCACACTCACCCCTGCATAGAGATACCCGATTGTTCAGCCTGTCCACCCGTCTATCCACCTGTAGATCAATGTTTGCCTTCGCTGACAATGTAGTACTGTTTGTTCAAAAGGGTTATCTTTGTTGTGTGTAACTCCCACATACCTCTCTATGTCTTCCTCTTCCTCAGTGCCACTGTCTTGATCACTCACATCATTCTTAATGTGTCTTGGAATTTGTTTCTTGTCAAAAATAACATCCTAAGACTTTTTATTTTCATCAATTGTGTTAGTTTTCCTTTGTTCTCATAATTCCAATGTAAGGAACCTTGTTGAGCAACACTTGAGTACTTGGTTGCCATCTCAAAGACTGGCATTTCAAACTCACCCACCAGCACCATGGAAGAAAGGCCTGTGGATCTGCTTCCATATAAGTTACAGCCTTGGCTACCCTAGGAGATAGTTTTGCCCTGTCCTATAGGGTCACTAAGGAGCTTTGTGGCACAGTGGACAAAGCATATGGATGCTAACCAGTAGGTCTGTGGTTCAAACCCATCAGCTTCTCCATGGAAGGAAGATTTACAGCCTTGGACCGGGAGACAGCTCAGGGGCAAGAGGGCGTGGAGGGATGGACACAGGGAAGAGGTAATTATTGGGAGGAAGTGGGAGGGGACTGTTGCATTGTGGTAAATTGTGGTCAATGTCATGAGACAAAATGTATGTGAAGCTGTATGGAAAGTGAATTTGCTCTGTAAATCTTCACCAAAATCACACACACACACACACAGAGTATATATAAAAAAAGATTTACCGCCTTGGAAACCTAGAAGTGTATCTACCTGTTATAAATGTTCAGCTCATATGCCTGTCTATTGTTTGGCTGTATCCCACAGGAATTAATTTAATTTCAGACCTGAAGGGTACCTAGGGGCTACAGTTTCAGGGATCTCACCAGGCTCTATCAGACCAGCAAACCTGATCTTTTCTTTTATGATTTTGAGTTGTGTTCCGCACCGTTCTCCCACTCTATCCAAGATCTCCTCCACTGATCCCTTTCCAAGTGACTGACAGCAGTAGCAGGGCACCATCTAGTTCTTCTGGTCTCATTCATGGTCATATAGGCTGAGGAGCACATGGTTTACTATTCCCTTGAACTAATTGTTTCCATGTGTCTTTGATTTTCTTCATTCTTCTTTGCTCTGGAGGAGGAGAGACCCATCATTGCATCTAGATGACCACGTGGAAGCTCCTAAGACCCCAGCCATGCAGAACAATGTTTTTGTGTAGTATGTAATGCTAGTTGAGCTTGAAAGGACATGCATGTTAATGTACAGAAAAAGCAAAGTCAGTTGTTACGGAATCAACCACCACTCAGCTCAACCCATTCTCTTATCAGTGAACTGTGTTCCATACAGTTTTCAGTGACTGATTTTTCGCAAGTAGATCAACCAATCTTTCTTCTGCAGCACCTCTAGAATTCAAAGCCCACCTTTCACTTGGTACCGAGAGCTTAGGATTTCTAGACTCTTTCTATATCTATATGTAACTCTACTTGTATATTTATATCTATCCATCTATCTAGGAGTCTCTGGGTGGTAGAAATGGTTAAGCGTTTGGCTAGTAGCCATAAGGTTGGTGGTTCAAGCCCACGCGGAGGCACCTTGGTGATCTGCTTCTGAAACATCACAGCCTGGAAACTCTATGGAGCACAGTTCATCTTTGCACACATAGGATCACCTTGAATGATAATCAGCAAACAACAGTGAGATCATGGACTAAAAGATCAATAAGGAGAAAATATGGGGTGGCAAGACTAAAGAGAATTAATGGGAGATGAATATGTAGTTGTACATAGGGCAGCAGAGATGGATGAATGGTTCCCAGACACACAAAACCTGATGTGGGCTGAGGAAAATCCAGCCAGTCATCATCAAGATGACTTTGACTCCTGGTGACATGATTTGTTTCAAAGTAAAACTGTTAGGTCTTCTTTCTCAGAAGTCTGCATGGACCCAAACTTCCACCCTTTTGGTTACCACCCGAACGTGTGAACAATTTGCACCTCTCACCAAATCTGTTGTGTGACCATCACCACTAATCCATATTAAAATATTTTCATCCTGCCAATGAGAAACTCTCTATTGTAAGCTCCCATTTCCCACACCCTCCAGCATATGGTAGCCTATCATAATCTCTGATTTCTATACATGTTCCTGTGCTCAATATTTTCTATGAAGTGTTATTTTTGTCTTTTGTTTTCCTTTTTGATTGATTGTTTTATTTCACTCAGCATAATGTTTTGTTTTGTTATTTTTGCCAAGTATTTTTTTTTTTTTTTAAATTTTGCTGTACTTTGGGTAGGAGCTCTGGTAGCATAGTGCCTAAGGCACTTGACTGCTCACCAGAAGGCTGGCAGTTCAAACCCACCAGCCACTCCTCAGAAGGAAGGTTGGGCAATCCTACTTCCATAGTGATACTGCCTCGGAAACCCAAGGAGGGGTCGCTATGAGTCGGGGCCAACTCGACAGCAAACAACAGCAACAACAACATACTTTGGGTGCAGATTTACAAAGCAAGTTGTTGTTAGGTGCTGTCGAGTTGATTCCAGTTTGTAGTGACTCCATGTACAACAGAATGAAACACGGCCTGGTCCTGAGCTCATCACCACAGCCCATGTCATTTCCTCTCACTGAGGGTTCTCCCCTTCTCTGCTGCCACTCTGTGCACTGAGAAAGGTTCACCCTTGCTGAAACACTGTCAGGACTTCATTTCTCTTTATGGCCAAGTCAGATTCCTCTGTCTGTATTCCCATGTTATGTTTATCCATTCACCTGTTGGCAGACACTTGGGTAATTTCTACCTTGTGACTACTGTCAGTGTTACTGTGAACACGCAGGACACGTACGCATTGGGTTCCCTGCTTTCAGTTATTGTGGGTGTGTACCTAGCACTGCAATCAGTAGATCACAGAAAAGTGCTATGTTCACCTTTCTGAGGATCCACCCAAGTTTCAGTTTTCAATCCACCCCTTTTCTCTGGAAGGAGCTCTGGTGGTGCAGTGGGTAAGTAAGGCATTTGGTTCCTAAGCAGAAAGGTGGCAGTTCAAACAACAGCTGCTCTGCAGGAGGAAGATGATGCAACCTGCTTATGTAAAGATTGACAGCCTTGGAAACCCAGTGGAAGTCACCATGAGTGAGAAGGGATATGACGGCAGTGGGTGTGGGGTTTTGGTTCTTCTTTCTGGAGGTGTGAGGAAAAATGCTTCAGGGAGGCACCTGCTACAAGTGAACCATCCAGCACACAAAGGAACGTATTCAACACACACACAAACTTTTTAAAACTTGGCTGTATAGATCAGCCCTTTATGACTCTTGGTCATTGGCCATTTGTCAGGAATATATGTTGTGAGTTTGATGTGTTTGGACAGAGTAGTGTGAGTGTAATGTGTACATGTAAGATGTGTGTATGTGATGTGTTTATGTGAATGTATTTGAATGTTTGAGTTGTGTGGTGGTGCATGGTGTTATATGAATCCATATGTATGGGGTGTATGTATGTGTTGTATGTGATCTATGCATTTAATATGTGTGGTGGTTAAGTGTGTGTGTCAACTTGGCTGGGCCTGTTTGCGTGCCTGGGCAGCTGGATGTAGTATTCTCCATGATGAGACTGGTCATCAACTCCATGGAGGAATCTACTGTGAGCAGCTGAGTAGCTGCCTTTGGGTATGGGGTCTGCTTCCCATATATGAGAAACAGCTTTGGGAATGGTCTCTAGCTTATGGCATGTCTGAACCCTGCATGTAACCATGTTGTTGTTCAGTAGCCTGCCACGCTCTGCTGAACTTGGGGCTTTCAGTGGACTTGAATGAATGCCCTGCCGTGTTGTTTGGTAACATTGGGACTGTGCCTTTTCACTTGTCAACCTTGGGTTTGTCAGACTCAGTAGCTAGCAGCTGCCTGAGTAGAGAGATGCCTGTAGCTTCACTGGGCATGGAGCAAGAGACAGAACTGAAGCCCAAGCTCGAGGGGCTTTCACACAGCCCCTAGAGCCTGGCACTTGGAACTTGGACTTCTAGCCTCCTGAACGGTAAGAGAATGAACTCCTGTTTGTTAAGGCCATCTCATTTGTGGTATGTTCCTGTCAGAGCAACACTAGGAAACCATAACAATGTATATGGCCCATGTGTGTATACGTGGTGTGGGGTGTGTTTGCGACAAGTGGAATGTGTGAACCTGAGATGAGTGTGTATGTGGTGGTGTGTGGAATGTTGACATGTAATACATGTATTTGTGTGGGCATAAATATGTGTGTGAATGTAGGACTGGGTGACATATGTACATTAGTGTATATGAGTGTGGAGTGTGGTGTAAATTGACATGCATGTACGTAGAGGTGTATGCGGTGCCTGTGTGTGAGGTGTAAGTATAGTGTGAGCATATTTCAGTATGGTGTGTGCTGGGCATGGTGTGACTGTGTGTAACGTGTTCAGTTGAAGATTCCATATGAGCACCTGTCACTATGTCAGCTCCTCCTACACGCACACCTAGAAAAAGGCAGGGAGCTGGCATCTTCTGTTCGCTAACTTAACAAGAGGAAGACGACGTCACCATCAGCAGCCCAAGGCTTGTTCCTATGAGGCCAAATAAGCTGACACCCTCCATCCTTTTAGCAATTTTGACACCAACTGTCCTTCCCACGGCACTCACTACTTCTCTGTTGGGTTCAATAACTCATTGCAAGGGCTGCACAGAACTCATAGACAATATTCATGATCATGGAGTTTATGAGGGAAGTAACACGCCACAGTTTGGGTTCAAAAACATGCTCAAGATACAGTTCTTTAACCAGAATATTCTCCCATCTGCTGTGCCCTTGGCATGCTGCTCTGATCCTTGGCCTCTTGGCCTGGCAAGCCCACTGCTGTGTCCCGTGCCTCTTGGTTCCCCTGTCACTGTCTCTCTGCTGGGGCATCTCTCGGCCAACGAGGTCCAGGGCAGGGATCTCGGGTCCAAACATGCTCCTCTTCACCTCCGGCTCTTCTCTTGAGAGCAGTGAGATCCCCTCTCTGCCTCTGTTGTTGTTGTTGTTATGTGCCATCGAGTCAGCCCCAACTCATCACGACCCCTCCTTGGGTTGCCGAGGCAGTATCACTATGGAAGTAAATTGCCCAGTCTTCCTTCTGAGGAGTAGCTGGTGGATTTGAACCGCCAGCCTTCTGGTTAGCAGTCAAGTGCCTTAGGCACTATGCTACCAGAGCTCCTCTCTGCCTCTAGGAGGGCTCATTTTAAGCCTGGCAGAGTGACAAAATTAGCCAATCCCAACAGCAGAGTTCTACACAACTTATTTGCATGGTCCCACCCAGTCATCCAGTGGGAGTTACAAAGACTGTGGCTAGAAAAGCCATTGTAAGTAATTCACTGCACTGCACATGCTCGGTGTGACCCTAAGCTGCCACCTCCCACAGCTACCTCCTGTACTTAACATCCCCATCCCCATTCCCAATGGTTGTCTTTGCTCTCAAGCACAGGCACACACAGATGGGAGCAACGGTTGGGGAGAAGGCAGCCAACAGATTCCTCACCCTCAAGGCCATAAGCTTCCTCGACGTCATCGGCCTGAAGCAGGAGCACTATGTTAGCCATGAGAAGTCCGTCCTGGAGGAAGTCAGCCACTCCTTCCCCGTCCGGCTCTGACTCCCTTTCTTTCCCCTCAGCCTCTCTTTCCACACCCAGGTGGTTCTTACACAGAGCCACGTGGAATGAGGCTGTGGCAGGTGTGGTGTGTTGAACCATGGCCTTCAAATTACATGGTGGAGTCTTAACCCGTGTACTTGATGATGAGCAATGGGAGGTGCAAATGGTGAATGAAATGAGCTGCTCATAGATTGACGAGGTGAGTCCACCAAGAAGTGCCTCAGAAGAGAAGCCTGGCCATGTGCTGCTCTTGAGGAGGAGGGATTGGTGTCAGAGATGATGAAGCGGCACGGCAGTTTGCAAAAGGTGGACATTTGGGACATCTTTAACCTCCACCTCATAGGGACCAGTCTTGTACTGACCTTTCTACAAGAAATTGTTCAAGCAAAGTTGTACACAATATAGTTTATACAGTGTAATTCTTACTATATGAAGTCCAAGAATGGGCAAATTTTATCTTTCACAATAACAGTCAGAAACTTGGCTACCTCTAGGATGAATATCCACTGTAATAAGGGTAGGAGGGAATGTTCTTGTGTGCTGGAAAATTTCTCTAACTTGATGTCAGAGGAGCTTATGGGAGTGTATGTCCAGATGTCAAAATTCATTGCATTGTACAGTTAAGATCAGTACACCTTATGCATTTTATTGTTTGTGTGTATGAGAAAAGAGTTTTGAAAATGCCTATAACTGTCATTAAAAAAAGTAATTCACCTTTTATCAACTCACCTTCCGAATGACTGGGATCTTCCTGCCTTCCTCCTTTCTCCAGGGTCCTCAGCCCCTGGAGAGATCACACTGGGTTTCCACTGCCTGTGTCCTGCTTCTAGGGAAATATTCCTGATATGCAAGAGATGACAAACCAGGAATCAGAAGCCCAGCTGATAGCTGGAGAGAGCTCTCTGGTTTGGCTGCACACTGCCTTGAAGAATGAAAGAAAGTTCACAGCAGCAATTTTTGCTGGAGAGAACTGTTCTAGTGTTCAGTGCAAAGAACGCAACACCCAAGTAGCAAAACCAAATGCATTCACACACACGCACACGCAAACACAAGTTTTGTTAATGCAATAGTACACTCTCAAGGGCATAAGGAGTGGGCCTACTTCTAAAGAAGGAGCAGCACCAAGCTCTTGCAGCTGTCATTGTTAGGTGCGGTCCAGTTGTATCCGACTCATAGCGACCCTATGGACAAAAGAATGAAATGCTGCCTGGTCCTGTGCCAGACTCTCAATCCCTGCTGTACCTGAGCCCTCATTGCAGCCACTGTGTCAGTCCATCTCATTGAGGGCTGTATTATGTAAGTTTGTGTGTCAACTTGGCTGGGCCTTGTTGAGTGGCTGGCAGCTGGATATAGTATCCCCGTGATGAGACTGGCAGTCAACTCCATGGTGGAATCTACTATAAGCAGCTGAGTAGCTGCTTTATGGATGTGGTCTGCTTCCTGTATATAAGGAGAAGCCTTGGGGAATGGTCTCTAGCATCTGGCACACTTGAATCCTGCATGTAGCTGTGTTGATGTTCAGCAGTCTACCACACTCTGCCAGCCTTGGGACTTTCAATGGACTTGAATTAATGGCCTGCTGTGTGGTTTGGTAATATCGAGACTTAGCCTTGTTAGTTGTCAGCCTCACTGGCCAGCAGCAGAATGAAGAAAAGCCTCCAGCCTCAGTGAGCCAGGAGTAGGAGGCAAGCTGAAGTCCAAGGTTGGGAGGATTTCACCCAGTCCCTAGAGCCTTGCACTTTGAACTTGGACTTAAAGCCTCCAAATTGTGAGAATAAACTCCTTTTTGTTAAGGCCATCTCATTGTGGTATATTCTTGTCAGAGTGGCACTGGTAACTAGAACAAGGGCCTTTCCCTTTTTCTCTGACCCTCCATATTACCAAACATGATATCCTTCTCCAGGGAATGGTCCCTTCTGACATAACCAAAGTAGGTCAGATAACGTGTGATTCTCACTTCAAAGGAGCATGCCAGGTGCACGTTGTTCTTCTCACAGTCCGTGGTACTTTGAGTATTCTCTGCCAACACCACAACTCAAAAGCTGCAATTCTTCTGCAGTCTTCTTTATTCATTGTCCAAATTTCACATGCATATGAGGCAACTGACAATACCATGACTTGGGTTAGGCCCACCTTAGCCTTAAAAGAGACATCGTAACTCTTCAACACTTTAAAGAGGTCTTTTGCAGTCAGTTTGCCCAGTGCCCTACACTGTCTGAATTCTTGACTGCTGCTTCCTCTGATGTTGATTGTGGAACCAAGTAATATGAAAACTTTGACAACTTCAATCTTTTCTCCATTTATTGTGACGCTGCTTATTGGTCCACTTGTTAGGATTTTCATTTT